TATATATATATATATATATATGTCGATTTGGAAGTATCCAAATTAAGTATGGAGCTTCTTTCACGATAACTTTTGTTACTTCAACACGCCAGCTGCTTTATCACATCTTCAAGTGAGTAACAAATCAAAAGTTTTGAAGGAAAACAAATGTGGTTTAGGAAAAAGTACAATTGAAGCTGCAAAAATTGTAGAGGAAACTAAGAGGCTATTTGGGAGAGAATAAAAAATAAATTTGTTTTAACCAAATTCTTCAATCACAAATTTAAAAATTAATCTTTAAAATAAAATTTTTTTGACAAGTTTTAAAATAAATACTTGATATAGTGTATGAACACATATTATAGCTCCAACTATTAATACTTCATTTAACAATACTTCTCAATATTTTAGTTTTTAATATTTTTTTATTTTAAAAATATATAAACTATTAATCAAAATAAATATTAAATATTTTAAATATATTTTATATATTTTTAAATTATTAAAAAATTAAAAAACTAACATCTGTAATTACGAGCCAGTTTTGTCGACCTAACCTAAATCCCTTCTCCATTTACCCATAATTTTATTGCACCGAATAAAGGAAAAGGTTCTGCTGACGGCCAGACAAAAGGAAAAGGTTCTGCTAACACAATTTGGGGTAGCGATTGGGCGGACATTTAGTTGAACATCCACTTCTCCATCATATTAACAGAAGAAACGATGTTTGGCATCAAATCTCAAAAGCAAAAATGCTTTAGAAGTCACGCAATTTGTGAAGTTTCTTTTTCTGTTGAAGCCCCCTTACACAATAATTACACGTATGATGTACTTGTAGGTCGGACGGTTTACAATTACTCGCGAATTACCCGGACAAAAGTATGGATATCCATGTTAAAAATAAAAAACTAACTCAGTGATAACAAACGCTAGAATATTAAAGAATCAAAGCCCATTGTTCTCAAAAGTATGAGAATAATTCTTCGTCTTCATCCACATGTTATTTTCAGGGAATCATCAGTATTTTACAGGGGGAATATGATCTACGGAACATGATTCTACCCAACATGCCAAAAGAATAGAAACCCCACGATTCCTCCTTATTAGCATTTTATTAAGTACATATACTTATTTGCACTTGTTGTTTCAACAGCTTGTGAAGGAGGAGCAGAGAAGCCAATGGCGTGGAGAAGCAGTTCATTTTCGAGTGTTTTCAGAAGGTTCAAGCCACATTTCTTGATGGTTCTTGCCCAAATAGGCTACACTTTCCTGTATTTCATCACAGAAGCTTCCTTCAATCATGGGATGAACCCCCATGTCTACATAACTTACCGTCATATTGTTGGTGGTATAGTCATGTTGCCTTTTGCCTATTTCCTTGAAAGGTATTATCAATGCTCATATTCTTTAGAAAACTAGACTAGCAATTCTCTTTATATTCATCAATTTTATGCATATATATGTTGGTATGCAGAAAAACAAGACCAAAGCTTACAGTAGCACTTTTCTTGGAGTTATTTGTTCTCTCCATCCTGGGGTAAGACTTGTGTTGTATGTACTTGAGTATATCCGAATAAAAGAGAAGAAAATATAGCTGAGATTAGTATATTCTTTAAATATTGTTACAGGGTGAGCTTGACTCTGAACATGTATTTTGCAAGCATGAGATATACCTCTCCAACATTTATTGCGTCAGTGGTGAACACGGTAGCTTCTTTGACATTCATAATTGCAGTTATACTCAGGTTAGGATATACATCATGATCCTTTGTTTTGCTAGTGTCATCCATGATCATGGCCATCAATTGATGTTTAGGAATTGCTTATTTATGCAGACTGGAGGTCTTTGATATTTGGAATTCTCGAGGGATAGCAAAAGCTGTTGGGACTTTGGTGTGTCTGGCTGGGGTAACCGTCATGACATTGTACAAGGGCCCCATCATGAAAAGTGTAGGGCATCCCCTGATACAGATTGCAGGAAAAACCACAATCCATGAGCATTGGTTGAAGGGTTCAGTTCTCACTGTTGCAAGCTGCATAACTTGGTCTATATGGTACATCATGCAGGTAAAAGGTCTCTCCTTTGTCCTGGATCAACAACTCTCTTGACAAAATACACAGAAAATCCAATTGATATACACCCAAAAAAAAAAAAAAAAAGAATGCATAAATCACTCTCTGGTCCCCTACTGATGAAATCAAGAAGACACGACAAATTGAGGAAAACTATTTCATGTTGCTTATCTCTATTGTGTGAATACATCTCAGTATATGCCAATCGTCTGAAATTGCAGGCATTTACATTGAAGAGGTACCCGGCACGCCTGTCACTAACAACATGGATGTCCTTTCTTGGGGCAGCACAATCAGCCGTCTTTACAGTGATCATAGAACATAAAGCATCAGCTTGGATGATTGGGTTCAACGTTGAACTCTGGTCTACAATATATGCTGTAAGCAGGGTTATTCAATAGTTAAGCATGAGAAGAAAGATGGTTTTGGTGCTATCTAGTCAAATTCTAACCAGGAATTATTCATTGTAGGGAGTTGTGGTCTCTGGTTTGATAATTTTCATACAGCTGTGGGTCACAGAAGAAAAAGGACCAGTGTTTGTAACCATGTTCAATCCCCTTACAACACTACTGGTTGCAGTTGTAGCATATTTTGTTCTCGGCGAAAAGCTTTACACCGGCAGGTAATTTCAAATTCAGTCCATTCCTTGTCTATAAGATATTATCAAGTACATTATCTAACGCAAGCATGCTAAACTGCCAAAGCTGAGATAAAATCTAGGGCCGGAAACAACAAAAGAAGGGTGTTCTAACAAGTTTACCTGGTGTTCTAACGAGTTTACCTGTTGTTCAGCATTGTAGGGGGAGTGATTGTCATTATTGGTCTGTATATGCTGCTGTGGGGCAAAGATCATGATCAGGAATCTGGTGTTGTAAGAGAACAGCAAATTTATTCACCTTATGACCAGAAACTGGAGACTGAAACTAAGAAAATCTCTTCAGCTGAAAGGGAAGCATCTCTGATGCGAGGAGAGCCTTGAAGATTATTACTCCTTGAATAAACAGAGATAAAAACAGGATCCTGATAGTGTAACATCCTAAGATTAAACAGGGAAAAATGGATGCAGGAAAGGAGATGGAACAGACTAAATCTTCCTTCAGGCCTTCAAGAAACTGAGTTTCTATCGATTGTAAACGTTCAGCTCCATGAAACTGACAGAGCTGTGTCAAGTTTCAGACTTGGAAATAAAAATAGGATCCAGCGTGTTTATACTTCACTAATAAATGGAAAAGGAGAATCACGCACTTAAGAATTAAACAGAAGCCATAAGCATCCTTATCTGCGTTAGAATGCATACCATCTTTCTAATTTCATAAAGAACAATAAGGTTCAGCAATTACAACCATACTGTGGAGAGCATTGATGTTGATCAAAGTTCTGAAGAACAGTTCCAAAAACTGAACCCTCAGGAATTAATTGCCACAGAAACAAATCATCTGGATAAACAATACAAGAATTAAAAGGATAAAAAAATGAATGAATGGAGACTAGGCTGCAGGTGGCCTGAGTTCATGATCATTAGATGTATCGCATTCAGTAGGAGGTAAATATTGCCACATTGGGACCAAACTATAAGCAGGGAAAACTGCCATCTTATTTGCCGCTGTATGATATGCCGCTGGGTGGGCTGGCAGAAACCCAGCAGATGGAACTGTCATCGGCTTTAGCTGTTGCTCCATCCTTTCTTTTTCTGCCTTCAGTACAAGCTTCTCTTCACGAAGTTCATTCTTCTCAGCCTGTTTCAGAGGGTGAGGAGTTAACAAAACAAATTAAAAAAGTAAACAAAAAAGAAATATCAAAGATAGGAAGGTACAGCAAGTTTGAAAAGAAATACCCAGGTTCACCAGCAATGAAATCTCAAACAACTTAATTCATATTGTTCAATAACAAAATTACAATTGAAAGTAGTAAAAGATTCAACTCTTGCATGTTTCAGGACCAAATTTAAAATAGCAACTCACTATTCTTCATTTAATGTCATATTAAACAACAAATTAATCCTAAGAAGAAAAATAAGTGATGTCCACAGTATGAAGCATATCCAAATGCAAATATTGATCAAAAGAGAATTAACCTGTTTCTTAATTGAGAATCATTTACATATAACTAACCTTTAAAACTTTTATATCTTCTTGTAGCTTTTCATTTGTTTCTTTGAGCTCCTGAGCTTCATTTCTCAGTTGGGTCAAAACTCTGATAGCATCATCAATTATTGCTGGTTTATCTGTTTTAACAGGTCTCCCAGGTTCCAAAATAGAGCTTAGATCCAGAAACCTGCACAAGTAATATAAATTCCAGGCTTTTGAATAACATCTTATTTTATCCAAAAGAGAGGACACAAATGAAGAATCAAAGCTACAAAACTCCTTAAAAGATTAATTGGAGGAAATGTAATTATACATAAAAGGCTATTTATCTTAGTTTTCATGAAGATGAGAACTAGATGTCATTTACATTTCAAATGTCATGTCAACTAGACAACTTAAGCAATAGAGAAGTACGCAGGCCTCTAGCCACAGAAACAAGGAATCTAAACCAAAGGCAAAACCCAAAGAGAAAACAAGAGAGAGAAAGCATGCCTTTCATTCAATTTCTCACGCCGCAATCTCTCACGGCATGCTTTTGTCCCTGGTCTGCAGCATGATTCACCGCGTGACCTACAAACCATCAACAGAACATCATTTGAGAATAAGAATCATAAAAAATAGGCCTTCCCACGCACTGTACCACACTTGCTTAGCAACCTTTGTGACAAAAAATGCTGCAGTATGCTAAAGCATAATTATCCACTTGGAAGTTATCAATGCAGCAACCTTGAACTAATTAATTGATGAAATGCAGGTACCACATTATTATCACAACCCAAGTCTCCCTAGCCAAAATAATAGGAACAAACAAGTTCCTATGCTCAATAGGGTAACACAACAATCATTTTATCCCATGATAAGTCTTCACCCTCATCTAAAACACAAATTTCATTCTACCCAACTTCTAAAAGAATAGAATAAACGAATTTAACATAAGTAATTATAAAATTACACTACCATAAGTACTCCTTACCCTCATCTAAAACGCGAATTGGATTCAACCCAACTAAATGAATTTATCATAACAAATCATAAAATTACAATACATAGGGAATTGACACAGTACCTCTTGCGAGAACCCTCCGCATCTGGAGTTTCTTTTTGTATCCAATCATCCACCTCTGCAAATTCATTTTCTTGAGATACAAAATTAAGAGTTGAGGAGTCAATTCCATCAATTCCCGTGTCACTACTGCAAGAAAACCACGGAAACAATTAATGGGCAACTGCTAATTCTGTTTAAAAGTTCGAAATTATCATTCTAACTGAACAAAAATTTAGCTATCTTCCCTGGGTAGATTAACAGACTATCATTTTTCAATGTTGAAAAAGAATCACGGGCAAACAAAATTTTCATAATGAAGAACAATTAATAATTTGATAAAGACGATGAAACAAAAACCCAGAAAAAAAAAAAATCAACAGACATATCGTCTGATTAAGACATAAACCTCGAATAATTGCAAACATCAAATGAATTGAAAAAAAGAAACCCTAAAAAGGAATGGCAGTGAAACAGATACCAGTGATTGGGTAAGAATAAATCTGGAGAGGCATCTTTAGTTATGAATCGATGAACAAGAGAATCCCAGTCCTCTAACGAATCCATTTGATTGGATTTGAATTGATTTGATTTTCTGAAATGATAGTCTGGGAGAGGTTCGATGTTTATGTTTGGCAGTTCGGAAGCCAATTGCCGGGAAATTTAGGGCGTGTTTGCTAAACGACTTTTTTTGGGAAGGTGTTTTTATGATAATGTGATCGGGTAAAACACCGTAAAAAAAAAAAAGTTAAAAGATATTTTATAAAAATTGTATAGTTTTATGATAATATTTTGTTAAAATTTTATTAAATTGTTAAATTTATTGTGTTTTGTAAAAAGTTAACATAAAAAATTATTAAATAAGTTTCATATAAAAAAATTATAATAAATTTTTTCTTTAAAAAGTAATAAAAAATTTATAAATTAAGAATTATATTAAAAATAATAAAAGTTAAAACCATTACTTTTGCTTTTCTTTTTTTTTTACTAGTACAATTAAGATATTGGAGATAAGAATGATAAAATTTAAATTTTAAATGTATAAATATCATTATTTTTTTCAAAATAATTATGACTATTATGCCGCAACAATAGTTGGCTACCACTTTCGCCTTTTATTCATTACTATAATTTTAAGGTTTATAACCCTTGCAATCTTGGAGCGGACATTTCCACGAAATTTCCTATGAAAGTAAACTAAACACCCCCTTAAAAGCGGAAAGGGAAAGGTTTGGGGCCTTTGGGCACGCGGAGGTAGGATTGGGCCGTCGAGTTTTATCCACACTATTTTGGTGGCTGCCAGCCCTTGAGAAGTTAAAAATGGCAGTGCTAACTAGCTGCTTTTTCTATTACCATATTTCTAGGAAGGAAAAAAAATGTTTTGCAATCCGGTGCACCTACCAGTAAATAGAAATAATTTTTTCAATTCACCCTGCACATTTAAACCCTTAGATAAAGAGACCTAGTGTGAATCTCATTCATCTAGAGAACATATTGTTTCAGTTTGATGTAAGCAACGTTGCAAAACATTGGATTTGCTAGTTTACTAGGTTTTATGGAAGAGGGATATTGTTGGGAGAGAAATTGAAAAAGGGGACTTGAATCCATCACTTTTTTTTTTGTGAAGAGCATGTACTTACCGATTGAGTGAGCTTAACTCTGAATTGGTAGCAACAACTATACAATTACAAAGCACCTTAATTTAGAGTCCAAAAAAAGTCAACTGCAACCATGAACCAACCAAATGAGCCACTTATGAGCAACAAACCACATAATTGTAAAAACTGGGGATTAGAAGACATCTGAACTTTATTGAACTGGTGGGCTTGTATGATTATGTTCTGTATCTCCATGAACTTTATTTTCATCACAAAGCAATGTGCATTTGGAAAGTAATAATTCAGCTACAAGCGGTTGAACAGAAAGTGGTCAGAGATTCAAACCACATGAGCTTCATTTTTAAGTTTGTCAATCAGCTCATCAACGGAAGAAAGAATAACACCTGCTTTTCTCTTGGGGGGCTCAGTGACTTGAACGACCTCTAAATCAGATTTGATTTCCACATTCAACTCCTCCGGAGTATATTTCTTTATAGGTTTTGATTTTGCCTTCATTATGTTCGGGAGCGTTGCATATCGTGGCTGGTTCAGCCTCAGATCAGTCCTGTACAAATAATGCAGATGAAAGTCATTATTGGTGTTCCTATTGAGGATCATGCATTTGAACAAGCCATAGAAATGAAGAAAACTCTTCACAAACAAATTCTGCTCAGTTTTGAATGTATTGATCTGGAAAAGCCTAGCCTTCTCTAAAGTTTTGCAAAAATAACCATGCAAGGTGATTGTTTCTTTTATATTACTTGTTTCTTTTCAAACGAGAACACCTTAAAAATCCTGCCCCTTTGATCAGCATTTATTGACATTATTAATATTTTAATGTAAGGATTAATTATCCAAAGAGCAATGAATAAGAAGAAAACCATACAAAGAGTGTTTTCAGACTTTGAAGAAAATTATTGTTTAAGAAATAATCCAAAAAACACAAGCAAAGGAAATTTCTGAAACCATCTAGTAGAAGAAATGAATATCTCTAAAACTTGAAAGCAGTCAAACACAAAAATAAATGTTATGTGTTAAGAACAAATTTTATATGCATAGATGGTTTCACAGCCACACATAATTCTGAGGCATAGCTTTTGATGCACCCAAATATCATTTGGTTAGAATCAAATGGTACTGATTGAAAAATCCAATGCCAAGAAAAAATAACTTTATCATTGTTTTAAAGTTTAAACTAACCTGCAGGCACTACAAATTGCATATGTGAAGACCGTACTCTAACTGATTGACAATCTTTGTTTTTATGTCAAAAGTAAATGAACCAGATACTTACGTGATTACAGCAGGCAAATCCAAACACAGAGTTTCAAGACCACCATCAACTTCTCTATCCACTGTTGCTATCTGTTTCTCCTTGTCCAGCACAACCTACTACAAGCCAGCAGCAAACATCAACAGAATATGGGGTACAGGGTCATAGATATAAACAGAAAATGAAAAAAGTAATCACATTACAGAGTTCAATTGTATGGAAATAATCCTAAGGAATATCAAAACTAGATGCCAAACCAATTCCAAGGGACTACCCATCTTTATAGCCTAATACCCACAACAATCTCAATGACCTCAAACAATCCTCTTATGGGTTATGACCATAAATTAATACTGACCAGCAAATAGCAGCATTATCGAGGGAAAGTTTCTTGATAACAATTAGAAAAGATGATGTAGTTGAAGAGCATTATAGTGAGTATAAGATTATTCTTCATCTAATGTATAGACTGGCTTAGATATAAAGGAAAAGGATTAGACTACCATACTAACCTTTGAAGCAAAGGTTCCCTGTGGCCAACCTAGAAGCCCAGCCACCATTTGCCCTGTTTGATTGCAATCGTCATCAATTGCCTACACAAGAATCTGGGTAATAAGAAAAAAATAATCTTCCGGAATTCCTCCACCAATGAAGTATCAAAAGAAACTCGAATGAACATCACATAAAAACACTAACACCACAAAGGAAATTGAAAACCAGTCAAATTCATGTCTTGAGAGGACCAAACTCTACAATTTTAAATGCTAACTCTGATAACTAAGAAAATGAAGAGAATGGATCACAAAATTAGACTCCAATATATATTCTCAGAGAAAATTCCACTCAAGCTAATACCATTTAAGCTTAACTAGATCTTTCTGAAGACAAATACAAATACTAAAAGAATTAAACTTCAGAAAATCCTGTTAATTTAAATTTCTCAATTATTTCAGCAACCAAACACTGCATAAAAAATTTTCTTTTCATTTTCAGAGTCCTCCAGTATCAATAGAAACCAATAAAACTCGAATTTGTAATCCACAATGAATCACATCACTTGAAAAACAATCAAACAAGACTACAATCAATAACCATCAAATCAAATCGACGAAAACCCCTCAAATCAAAGCAATGAAAAACTTTAATTACACACAAAACACAGACCTGCTTGCCAAGAATCAGCAGCCCGGGGTTTTCAACCTCGACCAGCCTCTTCAACACCCTAGCGACAGTAAGAGGATACAACTCCCGAGCAGCCTCGACGTGAATCCCTCTGTCAGCACCCATGGCCAGACCAGTCCTCAGAGTGTCGACGCACTGCGCCGGACCCATGCTGACCGCCACGACCTCCGTGGCAAGCCCAGACTCCTTAATGCGGAGGGCTTCCTCCAGCGCTATCTCGCAAAATGGGTTCATTGACATCTTTACGTTGTGGGTCTCAACTCCCGTCTGGTAACAAAAACAGAGTAGTCGATGACTTGATTGAATCTTATATCGGAAAAAATGGATGATTTGAAGGTTAAATTAAAAGATGGATTTACCTTGTCGGGTTTAACTCTGATCTTGACGGCGTAGTCCACCACTCGCTTTATGGCTACCATGATCTTCATGGTGTTGTGGCCGGTTATGTAGTATTGTAGTTTCAGGTTCAGGTTCGTCTCCTGACGGGGCAATAGTAAGATGATCGGAAAAGTAAAAGGTAGCGTCCCTGGTCCACAGGATAAATGTTTGGGATGAAGCGTGAAATGGTGAAATCTCGTCAAAAATAGTTCAGGGATTCAAAATGTTCAAAATTAAAAGTATAAGGACGAATATTGTCATTTAACCAAAATAAAGTAAGTCCAAAAGAATAAGGAATCTTTAGATAGAAATTAGTTAAAATCAATATATTAATTATGTGATTTATTTTAATTTAATCTAAAAAAATTTTCTTTCAAAATAATTTATAAGTTATCAATTTTATTTCAAAATGATTTACTTAATAAACATTTGGTTAAATAACTAATGAATACTTTCTAATCGTGACAAACTGCCATTTAAACTTTTAAAAAATGTTAAATATA